TTTAGACCAGACGACAGAGATGCTCCTTCATCTCCTACACCCATGATTCAGAGCCAGACACTCTCTGCTCCCTCCATGGTGAGAATTGTAACCTTTCCCTGCGTTTTCTTTCCATCTTGCAGAACTTAACAGAAAGTTATTTCCTGGGTACAGAAATTGTTAACATAGTTTAAAAAGCTCTGAAATTATATAATTCACCCTTGTATTACAAATTTCGTGTTTTGAGGGTTCTTTCGATGAAACTCCATTGCATTTCCAGAGTGCTGCATTGGTTTTAGTCCTGTTAAATTCCAAAATGTCTTTGACATAAGAGTTATGCAACAGAGTAGGGATTTTTTTTCCTCAGTTGCCAATTTATCTCTTCAGTTGATTTTTCAACTGGGATGAATCTATATCTATGAGCTTCTACAAAGAGCCAGGTTAAGATTTGTCTTTGGGTAGCTAATGTAGTTAGACATTTTTGAGAAAAAGGAATGAGAAGTGGTCATTATCCATTATCTGCATGAAATATTTCAGAGAAAGAAACAGCTTCTGCCAAACACAAAAATATGTTTGAGCTGAAGCCAGACAAGAAGGAAACAAGATCACCTTATAGCACTGTGAGATTGCTCTACTAATGATGTTATTTCAAGTAAAACTGGAATATATATATGAAGAAGTGCAGATGGTGCATAGGTTTTACATGGATTAGCAGTGTTGTTCTGGACAATGATTCACTGTCCCTTTTCTTGGCAGAAAATAAATTTTCCAGTCTTGGCAAGGAACTTATATATATATTTTAAGAAATGTTTCTCTATGTGGAAAAAGAGCAAATTTGAGTGAAAATAGCATCCGCTGGTGGAAAAGTTAGCAGTCAGAATGAACACTTTAAAAAAAAAAAGATGTAGTCACACTCTACAATTCAAGGTCAGAAGTGATGTATAACGTGGTGCAAATTACAGGTTAGTCGGGGGTGCGAGGGCCTGAAAGTCAATATTGGATCCAACATCCCTGGGAGCTGAGCTCAGTGCTGTCTGCATAGTAGGGTCAAGGCTTCAAGGTGGATGTGGATGGAGTTTTAGACCCATAAGTTCAAAAAAGAGTTTTTGCAGGTGTATTAACTGGACCTGCTTTCTTGTAGTTACTCTGTAGAAATATGCTAGAAATAGCTAAGAAAATGTTTTGAAAAAAATTTTAAAGAATAATGAATCAGCTGTTTGTTGCAACCCTTGTCCTAGAGAAGCAGATTTCTTGAGTTACCATGAATCCAATCACAAAGGCACAGAGGGAAATTTTAAAAAGGTTAAAACATTTTAGAATTGTATTTATGATTATTATCCATATGATAATATTATCCTTACTGATGTCATTATTTTGACATACACTATCTTGGGATCAATCAACACTAAAACCAAATATTGTATTTCCATTTAGGAAGCCAGAAATTGCTTCCATTCAATGCTCTGAAGCTCCTGGGTTTTGTCCACTCTTCAAGATAGTGAAATTTCAGTCCCCCACTTTTTCAGGGCTGCACATTGCCCATCTTACATCTCTGCCTGGGCCTGTTTAATTTTGGTGGGAAAAATTCTCATCTGGGAAAAGGAGGAAGCATTCATCTGATTACTGAGTTTGGATTTCTTTAATTTTGTTTTTTTTTCCTGTAAGGCAGCTATATATGAGCATCTCAGAGGTTTGGAATGTCAGAATAAGCCTGGGGGAGAACTGGTGGGAAGAGAACAGGTCACTCAACAATTTATTATATGGACATCAGTATCACATGCAAAACTTATGCTACTTATTACAGACACTGCATTTAAAGCATGTGGGCGTACAGGCTTAAGCCACCCTTTACTTATAAAATAAATAATGCAACATCCACTTAAATTAATGTTATATCTGTTAAATAGATACATCAGTTCATATCAAACTTCATGTCCAATGAAACCTTACTAAAAACCACTATTGGAAGGACACATGCATTTCTTGTACCCTAGGTTGTCTGCACAGAAAAGGTCTCCACTGTCCTTAAAATGCCCACAGCTATTTAAATCATTTAAATAAACAGAAATGGTTTTACAAGTGGGATACTGAAATGCGTTTTCAAAGCTGCCCAGAACCCTTAACCATTAAAATGGACCTGACTGATAGTTTTGTGAAATTTTGATGGTGCTTTCTAATCAGTTACTTTTACCACTTTCATAAGATTGTGTCTGTATCTTACACAGGCAAAAAAAAGAGGATTTCTCAGCACAAGTTACTCTTCTGTAAAGGTTATAGTAAACATGTCAATGCCTAATTAAGCAGAAAATTTTATCTGTGTTATGGGGGATGTGCAGCTGTCTGGTATTTCTGCTTCTCCTAGTAAATCCTTTTAGAAGGACAAAGGATATTGTGAGGAAGAAACTACTGTATGTCTCTCCCAAAGGAAAAAAATTACCTTCCGGTGAAAAATGGGTTAATCATATTCAAAGAATTGGTGCTGAAATGGAGAATCAAATTTGCACCGACCCAAAACTGTGTGAATGCTATTTGTTTTCTGTTTTGTCTGATTCCTTCATTGGATTCCCTCCTTATTTTTGTTTTGCTCGGTGTAATATGCTTGGCACTGTGATACATCCTGGCAAGGGGCCAGCGTTGCTACCTACGCTGTACAGTATCTCTAACACCGCGAGAACCATGTCAGTCCAGCTCATCAGTTCGTGCTGCTTGTTTAACAAGGTTACTACTCATGACGTGTAGGAGCTTTTGCCGCCTCCATGTCCCCCTGAAAAACATATGAGCTCAGAAAGGGATACGTGGAAAGTATTATCTGGTTATTAGGGAAGAAGTTTAGGGAGGAGGAAAAAATATTTTGTTCTTAGTGTTGTCTTTGCTGCCTGCCTCAGTCGATCATCTGTAAATGGGGCTGCTAATGTTTCCTGTACCCCAAAACACTACTAAAAGCCTTATTTTTTAATATTTAACAGTTAATATTTAATATTTAGCTTCTTTGCTGAAAGCATCTGCTGAAGAGCACAGTGTTCCTACTACTATGTGACTATTATTTTATCATGCTAAAATGGTGTCCAGGTCATTTGCTCATAGCCACTGCTGTTATCTTTGCCTCTGGTTGTAAAGCTGCCTGGTATCACCCCTGGAGTAAGCCAAGCCCAGCTATAAGCTGGTGTGATCTGCACAGGTCCTAAGACCGTGGGAAGGGTGTAGGAAAGACGACTCGTGTGGGTTTCTTAGCCCATCCACAGAGAGCACCATCATTTCCCTCTTCTTATACTGCAGCTTCATCCAGGAAACAGTTCCTCTGGTTCTGGTTCATCTCTTTGGCTTGATGGTAAATGTGTTGGAAAGGGTGAGATACACATGCAAATAGATTGAAAAATTGAAACACATACCTGAAAAAACTGTGGAAGGCTTTGTCTGTATGTTAATCAAAACGCCTCTTCTGCCCATCCCTTTTGATTTGCTAAAAGGATATCATTTGTGCAGGAGTACCAAATTCAAGGGAGCAAAATGAACCAGGTTCTCAAAAAGCCATAAAATGGCTTTTCTCAGAAGATGGGAAGGAATTGGATTTTAAACAAATAACACTTTTAGGGTCATTTACCTTGTGCTTTCAGAGCTTTTAGGGTTACTTCACAATTACGAGTACTAGCGTTTTATTTTATTTTTCTTAGTTATTTTTAAGGGCAGCTTTGATTTGGGGGTTTTGGCATTTATTTTTTTTTTACATACTTACCTGACACAAAAAGCTCGATCTTGAGCAAACACAACAAAGTACTCCTGAGACTGCAGTGCAGTCACTAGGGTTAGCAACGCTGCATTTGCACCTAACTGGAAGAGCTCGTCAACATATCTCCTATGAAGACCTGTGCTTCTGAAATCGACATTTAGTTTTGACAAGTGGCTGTCAATAACAATGAATTGTTTCAATATCTGCTTGCATTGTGCATAACAGCTTTGCAGTGGCTGTTAAAAAATTTACACTGGGGTTTTGTGAAAACATATCTGAACGATTTGTTCTGCTCCATCCCTTCTTGGGGGGGTCTGGGAGTGAATTGCTGACTGTGTTGAGTCATTGTGAATTTATCCAATGACTGCAATGGAGACAGTTCACCCTTAAAAATCCTCTTCTCTAATTCTTCAGTGTGTTTTTAACCAGGTTATCTCCTCTAACTTAGGCAGAATTACTGCTGATACAAGGCCAGAAAAAAAACCCAACTGAATTCCTTAATTAATTTTAAAATTTACAGTTCTTCCAGTATCAAGTTCATCTTATTAATTTAATAGTTAATTTGTCAAAGAAAATCTTTCTGGATTTGTTCTACTTTTCCAGTTTTACAGTTAACTTTGGTCTACCTCTGTCACATCCTAATACTCTTCTGTAATGTCCAAAGGTTCTTGCCCTGAAATTTATGGATTTGTTTTTACTGAAGCACAATTTGCTTTTATGGTACACAGTACATTACTTTTATAAACAAAAGAGTTCCACTTTTGCCTACTAGCGCTTTTATATGTTGTATTTTGACATATAAATTATTTGTGTACATTCTAAAGTGCATTTTTAGGTGATCAAATGGCAAAAGGTTACTGTACCTAGATGATGCTATGAACCAGGAAGATTATGGCAGTTATTTTCTTCTGTTCCTTGCCAATTCTACCCTTTCTTTCACTGAGGCTAAAAACAATTTGCTAGAATTGAAGCTTTTAGTATAAACTTTAAATTCTTACATATGAATTTTCCAACTGTCCCATTACAGGACAGTTAGAATTATACTCCCATGACAGGAAAATTATTAACTCAGAATCTCTGGCAGTTATAAAGAATTATGATCATCTGCCAGTAAAATGCAGCAACCTTCACAAAAAGAGACATCATTTGGCTTTTTTCACTTCCAGAACTAACAGGCAATAAAGTTGTAGATTAAAACGAAGTCCGGTAAAGAAAACACATAGTAAAAATCGAAAGCTCGAACTGTAGTATTCTCCTTTAACAAGTTATTTCATATATTGACATTACATTTCAGGTTATGTCCAAGAGGAAGATTTAAAAGAAGAGGAAGATATAAAGGAGGAGGAAGAAGATGATGACGACAACAACTCAACTGCTCAACTCCAGGGCAGCAATGACACTGGCACGGATGAGGAACATGAAGTGGGTCCTGAGCAGAAAGGGAACTTTAGTTACCAGAATTCCCCTGTCAGTCATATATCTAACCAGGATGCAGAAAATGAATCACTACTAAGTGATGGTAGTGACCATGTGGCAGATATTAAAAGCATTTGCTCTAGAGAGCCACAGAACCCAAAAACCAGCGCCCATCCCAAAGCCCAGAATGAAGCACATGATTGCATGGATAAAATGACAGCGGTCTATGCCAACATACTGTCAGACTCTTATTGGACAGGCTTAGGGCTGGGTTTCAAGTTGTCTAACTCTGAAAAGAGGAGTTGTGACAACAGAAATGGAGGGAACAAAGCTGATTTTGATTGGCACCAAGATGCACTGTCAAAAAGCTTACAGCAGAATTTACCTTCCAGACCTGTCTCGAAACCCAACCTGTTCAGCTCAGTCCAGCTCTACAGGCAGAGCAGCAAAATGTGTGGGACTGTGTTCACGGGTGCCAGCCGGTTTCGGTGCCGGCAGGGCAGCGCGGCCTATGACACATTGGTAGAACTAACAGTTCATATGAATGAGACAGGTCACTACCAAGATGACAACCATAAAAAGGACAAGCACAGACCTACCAGCTACTCAAAGCCCCGAAAAAGGGCTTTCCAGGACATGGACAAGGAAGATGCACAAAAAGTTCTGAAATGTATGTTCTGTGGTGACTCTTTTGATTCCCTTCAAGATCTGAGTGTTCATATGATAAAAACAAAACATTACCAAAAAGTGCCTTTGAAGGAGCCGGTACCAACCATTTCTTCAAAAATGGTCACTCCAGCAAAGAAACGTGTGTTTGATGTTAACAGGCCTTGTTCCCCCGATTCCACGACGGGGTCTTTCTCAGATACTTTTTCTCCTCAGAAGAATGCGAACCTGCAGTTATCATCTAACAACCGCTACGGCTACCAGAATGGTGCCAGCTATACGTGGCAGTTTGAGGCCTGCAAATCCCAGATTTTGAAGTGTATGGAATGTGGAAGTTCCCATGATACCTTGCAGCAGCTCACGACCCACATGATGGTCACTGGCCATTTCTTGAAAGTCACAAGTTCAGCTTCAAAGAAAGGAAAGCAACTTGTTCTGGATCCTTTAGCTGTGGAAAAAATGCAATCATTGTCTGAAGCACCAGCCAATGACAGCCCGGTTTCAAAATCAACCAGTAAATCATCTGCAGAATGCATAGCTCCCACCTCTGAACTAAAAAAAGAAAGTAAAAAAGATAAAGCTGATGATGCAAACAAAGATGAGAAAGCAGTAAAAACTGAAGAGTATGAAGACACTCTTCAGAAACCACTGGATCCCACAATGAAATACCAGTACCTCAGAGAAGAAGATTTAGAAGATGGTTCAAAGGGTGGTGGGGACATTTTAAAGTCCTTGGAGAACACTGTCACAACAGCTATCAATAAAGCTCAAAATGGAGCACCCAGCTGGAGTGCATATCCCAGCATCCACGCAGCTTATCAGCTCTCAGAAGGAGCTAAACCGTCTTTGCCTGTGGGTTCCCAAGTACTACAAATCAGGCCAACAATCACCAATAAATTGAGGCCGATAGCTCCGAAGTGGAAGGTCATGCCTCTGGTCCCTATCTCAGCAAATGTGGCCCAGTGCACTCAAGTGAAGAAGGAAACTGATGATAAGGAGGAGGTACAAAAGGACTATTGTAAAGAGGGCATCCAAGCTGAGCCTGCCTCACTAAGCCAGAGCGAGAGAGAACCTCTCCTCAAATCTGAAGCTTCTGTGGAGCCAAAAAAGACAGAACCATGTCCCTTGAAAGAAGAAGACAAAATTAAAGAGGACAGCGGAAAAGAAAAACCAGTCCTCAAGGAACCAACAGCAGCTTCTCTTAGTAATGGTTGTGCTGCTGCCAACCATTCTTCTGAACTGCCTTGTGTCAACCCTCTCAGTGCGCTGCAGTCAGTACTGAATAATCACTTGGGCAAAGCCACTGAGCCTTTACGGCCTCAATCCAACTCCAGCCCCAGCTCTAGCACAATTTCTATGTTCCACAAACCTAATCTAAATATGATGGAGAAGCCAGTTTTATCTCCTGCTCCGACCCCACCAAAGCCTGCAAGTGTATCCAGGCACTATTTGTTTGAAAACAATGATCAGCCTATTGACCTGACCAAATCCAAAGGCAAGAAAGCTGAGTCAGCTCAAGCACAATCCTGTACTTCTCCACCTCAAAAACATGCTCTGTCTGACATCGCTGACATGGTCAAAGTTCTTCCCAAAGCTACTACACCAAAACCTGCTGCATCTTCAAGGATCCCATCTATGAAATTGGAAATAGATGTCCGACGCTTTGAGGATGTCTCAACAGAAGTCTCCACTCTGCATAAAAGGAAGGGCAGACAGTCAAACTGGAACCCTCAGCATCTTCTCATTTTGCAAGCTCAGTTTGCTTCCAGCCTCTTCCAGACATCTGAAGGTAAATATTTATTATCAGATCTAGGCCCACAAGAGCGCATGCAGATTTCAAAATTTACTGGACTGTCAATGACCACCATCAGCCATTGGTTGGCAAATGTCAAGTATCAACTTAGGAAAACCGGAGGAACCAAGTTTTTGAAAAACATGGACAAAGGACATCCAGTCTTTTATTGCAGCGACTGTGCATCTCAGTTTCGAACCCCATCTACTTACATTAGCCACTTAGAATCTCATCTAGGTTTCCAAATGAAAGACATGAACAGGCTGGCTGTGGAGCAGCAAACCAAGGTAGAGCAAGAAATCTCCAGAGTTTCAGTTCAAAGATCTCCTGAAACAATAGCTGGAGAAGAGGACACAGACTCTAAGTTCAAATGTAAGTTGTGCTGTCGGACATTTGCGAGCAAACATGCAGTAAAACTTCATCTAAGCAAAACACACAGCAAGTCACCAGAACACCATTCACAATTTGTAGCAGAAGTGGATGAAGAATAACTCTTAAGGTATGCATGCTCTATAGCGAGTTTTAATTTCATCATTTTAAGGAGGCTTCGTAAGACATTCGTACTTTCTTAAATGTAGGAAAGCAATATAAAATGCATAATGTACTCCTGCTTCACTAATCTAATTGCATGTACATGTCCATTTTATAATGTTTTCAAGAAGAGAGCTTGGTAAATGCATAACCACATTGCCCTATATAGAAAAGTTGCTTCTTATTAATATTTTCAAAATAGCTGTTTTCCCAGTTCTCACTCTCTTTTTTGTTTCTAAGAATTAATTGTTTCACATCCTATGCACTTCAATGTGGAATGCAACAACTAAATGCTACTCTTTGCAATGAGAATGGAAAAAACAGGAAAAAAGCACTGAAAACCAAAAGATTATTACCTCTTTCAGTGCTAACACACCAGTAAATCTGTTTTGATGGGGGAAAAGAAGACAATTCAAATGTCAAATTAGCAAAATCTTCATTTTTCCAAGTTTCTTGTAATCGCAAACCCAGCCTCAAGAATCTACAAATAACTCTGAAAAGTTTATGTCTAGAAGTTCAGTTATTCTTTTGTTGATATTTGGATATTCAGTTTTGTAAAATATTTTAATATTTTACACTTACTTAAACACTTACTATTGTGAGTGGCCTTTTTTGTCGCATCATTTTAACCTATCTCTCCGTCATTCCTTTTTTAATCTTTAAGATGTTTGATTATATTTTGTTTCATGTTGGTGGGAGTGCTAGTCAATCCATAAACATCACTGACTTCAGTGCAAGTTTTCATATTACCTGGGGGGGTTAAATCTTAATTGAGGAAGCAGCTAGATTTTTTTACAAGCTTAATATTTCAAAAACCTATTAGTAGGATACTTCTACGTTAGTGTTGCTACTTTTTGCTGAAAGATACACCAACCGAAGTACTGCCACAACCAATGTTTATAACATGTAATGTAATATTCAGATGACATACAATTTTTGCATTTTTAATTTTACTTGATTCACAAACTTGAATATTCTTGATTTAAATAAATATGCAGAACATCAACTAAAAGTCCAAATAGAAGTTTTTTGTTCTAACGAGTTTATTTCCAGGAAGGCTCTGTTAGTCATTCCCAACAATTTCTCCAGCAGACTCAGGCTCTGCTTCTGTTCACGGAATAATCATGTGCAGATTCAGATTTTCTCCAACGTGTTCATTACTTGAATAACATTCAGAAAATGAATTCGTCAGACAGTCAAAATTAAAGATGTGTTGTGAGTTGTCACTTACGCCACCTGCTATTGTGGCTATTCTCTGACTAATTGAGGGTGCAAGCACTTTGAGGATGAATACCCATTTGTGTGAAGATTTCACATTTGTTTGCTGCAAATATTCATGAAGCTTTAAGAAACACTTTCTGTGTACAGAGCCAGCACAAGGACTGTGCATCACTTAAGCTCCATTAAAAAGGCTACTTTTGAATAATTTAAACCACTAATCAAAGGGTCACTTTGGGATGGGTAATAGAAGCTATTACTATGGAGTATAACGTCAGTATTCAAGTGCAATAAGATTTAAGTTTTGCATACATCTTGTACGTGCTGTCTGCATTTGACTGGATTTATCCTTTCTGCATATTTCAGCCAGCAAAATTCCGTCTAACTCAAAAGGAGTTTGTTTTCTAATACCCTTAAGTTTCTATTCTGGCATTTTTAACCCAACATTAGAACTCAACAAATAAATGTTCCTTGTTTATCTGACCAATCAAAACCAACATACCTGACAAACATACCGGAAAACTACAAGAGATTGGTTAGGAAACATATACCATACTTTGTTTCCTTCCCCACCAGTTAATCATTATTAAGACTCTGACATTGGTAGTTTTCACACAAGAGATATCAGACCAAACCAATAATTTGGGTACTATCAAACAAAAACTATCTGCCAAATACATTAATATAACAGTTATTTGGGCACATTCATGGCTTAATACATGACAAATGTTTCAGATTTGGTCTTAAAAGCACCGTGTTATTACTAAGAGGCAAACCAAACACCCACCTTTATAAACATGTTACTATTTCTGAGGATTTGGGGAACAAATACAAAGAAAAAAAATCTCCAAGAGAAAAAAAAGCGGTTTCTGCATTGTAATAACCTGCACAGACACATTGCGGGTATTATTCAGGTGATATGTAACTACATAAATAAGGTACTGTCCTTCCTGCCTTTGGGTACCGAGAAATTGCTGTCCTCTTAATACTCATCCATTTCTAATTTATATCGAGATGCAGGTTGTATCTTACCTTTGAAAAAATATATTTAAATTTCAATGACAGAGTGATAGCACTGTTATCTGGAACTATAATTTTAGTTGGTATGCATGATAGCACAAATTGTATGAAATGATGGGGTATTTTGGATAGCATTGTAAAGATTTTATTACAGTTTTGGAGCTGTAAGCCTACCGAAGTTCTGACTATGTTAGAAGTGTGAAGGCCAGAGTTTATTCATATGGTTTCTTCCTGAGATCTGCAAGGAGACAAAATCAAATAACAGGGATTTTCAGAGTTTACTTATTCTTACCATGTTATTTTTAAGATTCAGTGTACATTTGAATAATAACATAGAGGAGAGCACAGTATTTAGAAACAAGAAATATAAAGCATACTGAGATTCTTAAAACGCACACATGCATTTGCGTTTACTTCTTCTAGGCATTATTGTAGTGAAATAGAAATAAAATTAGAGAAAATATATGGAAATAAATGGAAATAAAACAGTGGAAAGAGTATTTGAAGTCTAGAAATACATAAAATAGTTTCTATATTTCAATGCATTTACTATTAACAAAATCAAATAACAGGGATTTTCAGAGTTTACTTATTCTTACCATGTTATTTTTAAGATTCAGTGTACATTTGAATAATAACATAGAGGAGAGCACAGTATTTAGAAACAAGAAATATAAAGCATACTGAGATTCTTAAAACGCACACATGCATTTGCGTTTACTTCTTCTAGGCATTATTGTAGTGAAATAGAAATAAAATTAGAGAAAATATATGGAAATAAATGGAAATAAAACAGTGGAAAGAGTATTTGAAGTCTAGAAATACATAAAATAGTTTCTATATTTCAATGAAATTTACTATTAAAGGTTATATTTTTTAATGTTAGCTATCATTAAAAATATAAATTAATAATCTGGGTTAGTACTGTACAAAAATGTGTTATGTATATAGATGTATTTTTCAGACCTCTGTGAGGCTGTTTATAAGAAATTTGCTATAAATTCTTCTTAAATGACGTATATATCTGTTTATATTAATCTTTGGTGTTTTCTTGAATTCTTCTAACTGATATGGGTTTAGTAATATAATGTAAGATTATGTGTAATATACAACAATCAGAAGTCTCTATTCTTTTTCATTTAACCCACTTCAAATTTGTTTTTATTGCTATTCTTCAAAGAAAACCCATGAACATTAGGGAACATGGCTTTAATTAGAAGTAATTTGTATGTTGACTTATACCTTTGAAGAACATTTGTTCATTTTTTCAACTAAATTAGAATTTTTATGTTGTCCTGAGAAAAAAGACAAGGCAGAATTGTATTTCTCACTTTAAATTTAGGTGAGATTGGCTATAAACTGGTCGGCAACTGAGGCTCTCTGTGGTCTTATCTACAACTTTTTACAGAAATAAGTCTCTATAGAGTCAAATTTACCAACTTGATTGGGGAGATTTCTTTTTCAAAAGACCCTGATAAGTAAACAAGCAGCTACCTGAGATGAACTAATTTGAAAGTAAGGCTGCTGCAAAACAAAAAAATTAGTCATAATGATAAAAAATTTTTCTCTCTGTTTCCTCCTTTGTCTTTTTTTAACCATCAAGTTTAAAGCCTCTACAGTGCTTTTTTTCTACTTTATAGGAGACAACTGACATTCTGTGGTAAATGGAAGAAAGAGCAGAGCAGAACTGAAAATCCTCTAATGCACTGACACTAACTTGCCCTCTATTGTTGAAAATGAGCAGGCAATCATGATTGTTCATCAAATGGCTCCTAATGCAGTTAAAGCATTCAGCTATAATTTCTCCTTGCATTTATAATTACTGTCATAGACTGCACACCTCAGTGAGCAGATTAAAGCTATAAACTATTTAGCCGTAGCTTTAAGATGAGGAACTTGATTTGTCTGGCAGCAGTTATTTGTTAGAGAGCTTGACACTTCACATAAAAATGACTCAACTTGATGAAGAACAATGCAGTTTAAGCAATGCAGTGATTTTAAATCAGTCATTATACCACGCCCTGTAAGAATTGCAAAGCAATTTGTTAAATGATATATAGGACACGTAGATAACTGTATGTGTTAAGTATACCAAAATAGAAGATTTTTTCCGTCTGTGGATTTTATTTTTTCATCCCTCTGAAATAGTAGGAGCTGCTCTGAACATCATGTTCCGCTATTATCCAACATTGGTGTTACATAGGCAAGGACAATTGCATGAATTAGTAGTCCAAAACTATATTTTAGAGAATTTAGCTTGCTCTTCATCTTTCATTTCTTCTTAGCAACAAACATGAAAAACTGAGAGACCCTTTCAGGAGAATCACACATGCTGGGATATAGCTGCCTGCAGTTGTGTCCACCATGACTTTGTAAGCAGAATTTACCAGCAAAACTGAGGGTTCTGCTCACCATGTCATCAGCCAGAAAGAGAGGGTTCATTGCAATGAAAGCTTTGATTATTCAGTTTGAATGGGACTTTTCTGACAACATCTTGTTGGAAAATGATGACTTCTCAATGGTAAAAAAATTCTGTGGGGGAGTCCCATTTTAAAATAGACTTTTGTTGGGATAAACTGGGTAAAATTGCTGAGCACTACGAAGGAGAGCAGAGGAGACAGGGGAGTAGGAAGAGGAATAGGTTGGCCTTTCTGCTGTGCTGGAGGAGAAACACAGAGCCCATCCTCAGCAAGAACTACCTCCAACCCATCACTCTTCCCTCAAAATAGT